CAAATAATAAAACATAGAGAAATACATAACATTCCAAGAAGAAAAGTACTAAGGAAAAAGGATATTCAGATTAAAACTGAACACCAGCAGAAGGCAGAAATGTATGTAGAAACTTTAGAGCGTGTCCTTGAGCTAGGAGAGCCACAGAACCCTCAGGGAAAAAAAAATGTAACAATGTGGGGTATAGTATGGAATGAGAGTCAGTGGGGAAAGGATATGATCCTCAGCTAGGGTGTGGTTTAAGTAAAAATGTTAGCAGTTCTGATTGGAACCTAATTAGGATCCCCCACAAGTTAATTTTTCTTGACTACCCCCAAACCTCCAGGTTTTCCCTCAAAATGTTCTCGGATAGCCCACTTTCTGGATATTTCAAAAGATGTACCAGCGGGCCTAATAAATCTAAATGATGCTGAGCATGTAGAATATCTTAAAATGGATGGTAATAAAGGATGGGCGGCTACCAATTATTCAAGAAGAGATTTTAGAAAGTCTCGATTTATTGAAAAACTGTCTAGAACATATTTTTGTGCCTGTGGCTGCGAGTCGGTTGTCAACAGCCAAATTAGAACTAGATAATAAACGCTGCCAACTAAGTGAGGATTATGTGAAACCAGAATGCAGCAAACCCCAAGTTACCTCCGTTGAGATAAATCCCCTAGCCCAGCGATGGCAAACTTACGGCATACATGCCGCAGCAGGCACGCAAGCCACAAGTCACTGGATCACTACTCTCCCACACACACAGCCAAACCTTGGGAAGCAGTTGCAACTGCAGTGCTAGTGCCCTGACAGGCGAGAGGTCAGGATCCAGAGCAGCTGGCACTGATGGTGGATCCAGAGTGTGTATCAAGGTACCTCCGTGCCCAGGCTTCCCCCTTCCACTGCCACTGCTGCTGCCGTCACCGCCTGCCACCCGCTGGATTTTTTTCTTACTCGGGACCAAAAAGGTTCACTGTCACTGCTCTATATCCTCATGGAGACCCTGGCAAAGGCCCAATATATCAGCACATTTGATCTAATTAAAGGTTATTGGTAGACCCAGGTAGATAAGGATGTTCCCAACATATCTGCATTTGTCCCGCATGTCAGCTTGTTGAACTGCATCCGAGAGTGCTAAAGGGACTGGCTGAAGACCTCTCAGAACTGCTGATTATAAACTGGCCACCATACAAACACCTAGAAAAAAAAGCAGTAATAACTAGAAGCCAAGACAAATTTGTCAAGAACGAATCCAACCAGACTAATCTGTTCTCATTTTCTGATTGGGAAGCCCCCCCCCCCAATAGTGGGAAGAGTGTAGACATCGGATATCTTGACTTCAGCAAAGTTCTTTGTTGAAGTGCCTCCTGATATTCTGATTAGCAAGCAAACTAGGTGTGGGCTGGATCGAACAGCTGGCAGGCTACAGAATCTTACTCAGAGGATGAAAAACATTTTCTAAAATTGGGAGGAGGTAAGTAGTGGGGTATGCCAGGGGGTCTGTCCTGGGCCCTGTGAACTTCAACCATTTTATTAATGATCTGGATCCGGAGATGCTAGGAGTGCTAATCACATCTGCAGATGACAGAACATTGGATGGAATAGTTAATACCCTGGGAGACTGAAACAAAATTGAAAAATAATCTGCCATGTTTCCCTGAAAATAAGATAGGGTCCTATATTACGGTTCTGTGTAAGATGAATTTAAAACATGAGATTGTTGTGCAGAGTTGCTTTGCCTGGCACGAAGGTAAGGAAGCAAGGCCAAAGAGGCCTAGAGAAGATGAAACAGAGCATAAAGCCACCTGGGCTTGGGTCTTCTCATGTGAAATATGGGAAGTGAACTAAGTGAACTTGGACATAATTGGTTAACACCTTGGAAGTGTCATAAAGAAGGTGGTCCAGAGACCTGTAGAAAAATGGTTGTTCATCTATGTGAGATATGGCTGGTGGATGTTGTGCAATGTGAGAGGTTTGAAAGAGAGGGGAGAAATCGCTCAGCTTCCCTAGATGCTAACATGAAAGTGAGAGCAAAGATGATAACTCAGGTTCTAGTTGTTATTTTACTTAGAAATAGTACACTTATTTTAATCATTGTAACCAATGGATATGTCTAATGCTTACATCTTTAAAGCTACAAGTGTATTCTAATAAAACTACTTTATTTTCTTAATAAAAAACTAATATAATTCTTCAGCAGAGGACTGGTCTCTTGAACAGCAGAAATAAACCAAAATCTAGTGAGGATTTGAGAAGGTCACTCATTGCTACTGTAATATTGAGAGGTCCTACATGCTCAGGCTGTTGTGCACTCTAAGGAAGCACTCAGTCAATTAGTTATTGCTTTGAAAGTAAGCAAAGGTTTCTTTTAAGGTCGGCCCTGTCCATGGGGCTTCTACTACGCACTTCTCAGGCCTAAAGAACTTACCTCAGACACTAAAGGAGGTAGTTTTGCACCCACAGTGACACCCAGACCCATGATCCTTATCTCTTCAGGTAGAGGTCATCGTGACAATGACAACTAAGGTTGTGGCTGGGTGGAGTTTGTTGACCTTTTGTACTCTGTGTTTTTGAGAGCTGGGAGCCAGGTTTTGTTGAGTTTCAAACTTTCCTCCTTCCTGTTGAAGTTCTTTTGGTGCTTGTGGATTTCAATGGCTTCCCTGTGCAATCTGACGTAATGATTGCTGGTGTTGTCCAATATTTCAGTATTTTTAAATAGAATTTCATGTCCAGTTTCTTTTAGGGCATGTTCAGCTACTGCAGATTTTTCTGGTTGTTTAAGTCTGCAGTGTCTCTCATGTTCTTTGATTCTGGTGTGGATACTTCGTTTTGTGGTTCCAATGTATACCTGGCCACAACTGCAAGGTATCCGGTATACTCCTGCAGTGGTGAGGGGGTCCCTTCTGTCCTTTGCTGACCATAACATTTGTTATATTTTTGTGGTGGGCTTGAATACTGTTTTTAGGTTGTGTTTTTCCAGACGTTATGTCAGAAATACTTTGTTTGTGGGTGGCTGTTTTTCTTCTTCAGTTCGGTGTTGTTTTCTTGGTTTGATGGTGCTTGTGATTTCATTTTTGGAGTAGCCATTTGCCTGTAGGGCCCAATTCAGATGGTCGAGTTCAGTGTTGAGAAACTGAGCTTCACAGTTCCGATTTGCACGGCTTACCAGTGTTTTGATTATGACTCTTTTTTCCTGTGGGTGGTGGTTGGAGTTTTTGTGTAGGTAGCTGTCTGTGTGGGTGGGTTTTCTGTAGACCTTGTGTCCCAGTCGGAGGTCAGTTTTGATTAGGACCATGACATCTAGGAACTGGAGATGGCCCTCTGTTTCTTTTTCCATGGTGAATTGTATATTTGGGTGGATGCTGTTGAGATGGTTGAGAAATTCTTCCAATTTTTCTTCACTGTGCCTCCAGATTGTAAAGGTGTCATCCACATATCAGAACCAGACTGTGGGTGCGAGGGGTGCCGAAGCCAGGGCAAGTTTTTCAAAATGTTCCATGTAGAAATTTGCTATAACCGGGCTGAGAGGGCTGCCCGTGGCCACTCCATCTGTCTGTTCGTAGAATCCATTATCCCACTGGAAATAGCTGGTTGTAAGGCAGTGCTGGAAGAGGGCCTTGATGTCTTCTGGAAATAACTGCTGGATGAGTATCAGGGTGTCCTTTACCGGTACCTTAGTGAACAGGGATACTACATCAAAACTGACCAGTCTATCCCCAGGGTTGAGTTTTAGGGTGCTGATCTTGCTTATGAAATGCCTTGAGTCTTTGATGTAGGTGGGTCTGTAGAAGGGTTGCTAGGTATTTGGCTAATTCATATGTTGGGGAGCCGATGGCAGTTACAATGGGCCTGAGCGGGGTAGAGTCCTTGTGAATTTTGCGGAGTCCATATAGTCTAGGTTGGAGAGCTTCTGTCTTGCAAATTCATTGGAGGACGTTGGGGTGCAGGGAGGAACTCCTGATCAGCATGTTTGTTTGTTTTGTGATTTTGTTAGTTGGGTCCCGTTTCAGTTTTCTGTAGGTGATGGGGTCTAGAAGTTCCCTGTATTCTACTGTTTCCATGATTACTGTAGTGTTGCCTTTGTCTGCTGGTAGGATGATGAGATAGAAAGGTCAACGAACTCCACCCAGCCACAAGGTCAGGGGATTACTACACACAAAAGACCAGCTAATGACACCCATCAACCACAGAGACAGATAATCTCCCCTCCTTATCAAAACAATACACCCACAACAAAACACACTAATCCCCCATCTCCTGATTAGGACAATAGCCTATCTCACGAACTAGCCTTCTCACAGCCATAAATACTCCACTCCCAAGCCTACCCAGAGCACAGTTTGCTGTCCTCTGAATGCTGTCCACAGATACTGGCGAAATGTTAGGAGGAACCACATTCAGAACACAGCCAAGAAGCCCGAAAAACCCACAACAACCACAAGTAAGGCTATTGGTCTATTGGCTGTCCACATTCAATGCATTGATATGATTGCATTTGAAAAAAGATAACTGGTCTTAATGAGGCTCTGTTTACATTCTGTGTATTTCTGTGCTTTCTCCCCAGTGTGAATTTTTAGATGGACCTAAGATTACTGGTATGACTAAAGTTCTTTCCACATTGCATGCATTTATACAGTTTCTCACCAGTGTGAGTTCTATGATGTGAATTTAGAGCACTGCCCCGAATGAAGCTTTTTCCACATTCCAAGCATTTATATGGTTTCTCCCCAGTGTGAGTTCTTTGATGTGAACTCAGGTGACCGGTCTGACTGAAGCTCTTACCACATTCTATGCATTTATACGGTTTCTCCCCAGTGTGAGTTCTTTGATGTCTACTCAGGGCAGTGTTGTAACTGAAGCTCTTTCCACATTCGACACATTTATGTGGTTTCTTCCCAGTGTAAGTTCTTTGATGTGAACTCAGGTCACTGCTCTGAGTGAAGCTATTTCCACATTCCATGTATTCATATGATATCTCACTGGTGTGAGTTCTTTGATGTGACCGAAGACTACCCTTCTGATTGAAATTCTTTCCGTACTCCACACTTTTATATGGTATCTCCCCAGTGTGAGTTCTTTGATGTGAACTCAGGGCATTACTGTGACTAAAGCTCTTTCCACATTCCATGCATTTATATGGTTTCTCCCCACTGTGAGTTCTTTGATGGTAACTGAGACCACTGTTTTGACTGAAGCTCTTCCCACATTCCATGCATTTATATGGTTTCCTCCCGGTGTGAATTATTTGATGTGAATGAAGGTTACTGCTTTGACTGAAGCTCTTACCACATTCCATGCATTTATATGGTTTCTCCCCAGTGTGAGTTCTTTGATGTGAACTTAAGTGACCGGTCTGACTGAAGCTCTTTCCACATTCCATGCATTTATACGGTTTCTCCCCAGTGTGAGTTCTTTGATGTCTACTCAGGGCAGTGCTGTAACTGAAGCTCTTTCCACATTCCACACATTTATGTGGTTTCTCCCCAGTATAAGTTCTTTGATGTGAACTCAGGTCACTGTACTGAGTGAAGCCATTTCCACAATCCATGTATTTATATGATATCTCACTGGTGTGAGTTTTTTGATGTGACCAAAGGCTATCCTTCTGATTGAAGTTCTTTCCGCATTCCACACATTTATATGGTTTCTCCCCAGTGTGAGCTCTTTGATGGGAACTCAGGGCACTGCTGTGATTGAAGCTCTTCCCACATTCCATGCAGTCATATGGTTTCTCCCCAGTGTGAGTTCTTAGATGTCTATTCAGGGCAGTGCTCTGACTGAAGCTCGTTCCACATTCCATGCATTTATATGGTTTCTCCCCACTGTGAGTTCTTTGATGGTAACTGAGACCACTGCTTTGACTGAAGCTCTTACCACATTCCATGCATTTATATGGTTTATCCCCAGTGTGACGTCTTTGATGTGAACTCAGTTCACTGTGTTGACTGAAGGTCTTCCCACATTCCATGCATTTATATGGTTTATCCCCAGTGTGACGTCTTTGATGTGAACTCAGTTCACTGTGTTGACTGAAGGTCTTCCCACATTCCATGCATTTATATGGTTTATCCCCAGTGTGACGTCTTTGATGTGAACTCAGTTCACTGTGTTGACTGAAGGTCTTCCCACATTCCATGCATTTATATGGTTTATCCCCAGTGTGACGTCTTTGATGTGAACTCAGTTCACTGTGTTGACTGAAGGTCTTCCCACATTCCATGCATTTATATGGTTTATCCCCAGTGTGACGTCTTTGATGTGAACTCAGTTCACTGTGTTGACTGAAGGTCTTCCCACATTCCATGCATTTATATGGTTTATCCCCAGTGTGACGTCTTTGATGTGAACTCAGTTCACTGTGTTGACTGAAGGTCTTCCCACATTCCATGCATTTATATGGTTTATCCCCAGTGTGACGTCTTTGATGTGAACTCAGTTCACTGTGTTGACTGAAGGTCTTCCCACATTCCATGCATTTATATGGTTTATCCCCAGTGTGACGTCTTTGATGTGAACTCAGTTCACTGTGTTGACTGAAGGTCTTCCCACATTCCATGCATTTATATGGTTTCTCCCCGATGTGAATTCTTTTATGTATACTCAGGGAACTGCTGTGACTGAAGCTCTTCCCGCATTCAATGCACTTATATGGTTTCTCCCCAGTGTGAGTTGTTTGATGTCTACTCAGGTGACTGCTGTCAGTGAAACTCTTTCCACATCCCATGCATTTATAAGGTTTTTCCCCGGTGTGAGTTCTTTGATGTGAAATAAGATGACTGCGTTTACTGAAGCTCTTTCCACATTCCATGCATTTATATGGGTTCTCACCAGTATGAGCTCTTTGATGTCTACTCAGGTGACTGTTGTAACTGAAGCTGTTTCCACATTCGATGCATTTAAATGGTTTCTCCCCGGTGTGAGTGCTTTGATGTGACCTCAGGTTACTGCGTTGACTGAAGTTCTTCCCACATTCCATGCATTTATATGGTCGCTCCCCAGTGTGAGTTCTTTGATGTCTATTCATGTGACTGCTGTGACTGAAGGTCTTCCCACATTCCATGCATTTATATGGTTTCTCCCCAGTGTGAGTTCTTTGATGTGAACTCAGGTTAGAGCTATGACTGAAGCTCTTCCCACATTCCATGCATTTATATGGTTTATCCCCAGTGTGACGTCTTTGATGTGAACTCAGTTCACTGTGTTGACTGAAGGTCTTCCCACATTCCATGCATTTATATGGTTTCTCCCCGATGTGAATTCTTTTATGTATACTCAAGCCACTGCTGTAACTGAAGCTCTTTCCACATTCCATGCATTTATATGGTTTCTCTCCTGTGTGAGTTCTTTGATGTGAACTCAGGTTACTCTTATTATTGAAACTCTTTCCACATTCCATGCATGTATATGGTTTCTCCCCAGTGTGAGTTCTTTGATGTGAACTCAGATTACTGCTGTGGCTGAAGGTCTTTTCATATTCCATACTTAGATAGAGTTTCTCCTCTGTATGAGTTATTTGACATGTACTCAGGTGACATGCATTTTTTTGGTTTCTCCCCTACGTGAGTTCTTTTATGTGACATTCATTCCTGCCCAGTTGGATTTTCAATTCTGTTTTTTCTTTGTTGATATGTTTCTGCTGAGGATGCCGCAGGTGTTGCCAGGCGATTCTTCTCCTGTTTATCGTCTGGTAGGTTAGAAAAAGAAAAGAAACAGCCATTTTAGAAAGCTGCATGGATAGGGAGAAAACGCATTCCGGCTCCATCTGTGTCACGGAAGAGGAAGGAAATGCAGGCAAAAAGGTGAAGTAGGTGAGGGAGGAGAATCAGGTTGGGCGTGAGGCTGGAGGTGGGAGGGGCACTTCACCAAAAAACCTTTTGGGGGGTGGAGTCACGAAGGAAGGAACATTGCCACACCCAAAAAAGTACCTCAAATTTGTATGCTGCCCTCCCTTAATTATTACCTTATAATTCTATTCTGAAACATCTATTTTCATTTGAGGTAGTTATCCCATTAAAATTCCTTTTAATGAAAATTGTAGGTTACGTAGCAATTATACAAGGGGGTCACAACTCAAAAACGTTTGGGAAACACCTTTCTAGATGCATCT